ACCAATATTTAAATGGTAGCTCACCTTCTTGATAGCCAAGTTGATCCAAAATTTCTTGTTTCACCCTAGCATACACCCGTCATATATATACAACTCTTTTATTTGTTAGCCTGCAGCCCTGAAGCTTTAGAAAATCTTGTGAAAGCATCATGTAGCATCTGAATAGACTTCACCTCAGTTTTACAAAAGAGCAATAGGTCATCTGCAAAACAAACATGAGTGACCCCCAACCTCTTACACCTCGGATGATACCGGAAACCAATGCTCTTACCCAATTGAGAGAATTCTCTTTGGAGGTATTCCATAGCAAGCACAAAAAGGTTAGGAGACATAGGGTCCCCTTGCCTGATGCCTTTCTTACCTACAAAAGGTGTTGTGAGTCCTCCAAGCAACAGTAATGAGTATGATACTGAGGTAATGCAAGCCATTACCCACTTTATGAATAAGTAAGGAAATCCCAACTCTGCCATGATTGATTCTAAGAAGCACCATTCAATGGAATCATAAGCTTCCCTTAGGTCTACCTTCATAACACATCAAGGAGATAGCCCTTTCCTACTGTACCACTTTAGGATTTCATGACTGATCAATACATTATCAATAATACTCCTCCCCTCTATAAAGGCAGACTGTGCAGGACTAACAACATGGTCAATCACTAGCTTCATTCTGATCGTTAAGATTTTTGTAATGATCTTATAGAACCTGGTGCAACAAGCTAGTAGTCTTTTACCTGGGAAGGATTAGGGACTTTAGGGATAAGAGAAACTGCAGTACAACTAAAGGCTTTAAGCATTTCACCTGTGTGAAAGAATTCCTGGATAGCCTTAACCACATCTGATTCAACTACTGTCCAGTTCTTCACAAAAAACTCAATTGGTATTCCATCAATCCTGGGAGACTTATCATTTGGCATACTTTTGATGGCAAGCATAATCTCTTCTTCAGTTTAGAGGGACCACTAGCCCACACTTCTGTTCATATGTTAGACAAGGCCCCTCTCTTATGAAAGCAACATTAGGACATGGTAGATTCTTGCCCCCATTAGTTCTGAGTAAAATCTAATAAATTACAAATTTGAAATTATTAAAAGTAGAATTTTCAATAAATTATTATGGGAGCTATCATAAATGATGTATTCACAATTCCTTTATCTGCATGAAATTGATTAAAATTCGTTAATACTTGTATATTGTATATTTGGTTCAACAATACTTAATTACTTCCATGAATGAATGATCTTTCTATTTCTACTTAATTTATTTTAAAAATCATTTTAAATTCGCGCGGGGACAAGTTTCCTAGTAGATTAAAAAGTGGAAAAAATAAATAATAACTTATATTAAGTGAAATAAATGGTTGCCTTTCAAAGGACTACATCTATCTATAATATTGGACAAGATGAAAGGCAAGATGTTCCATTAAGATTATAGGAATGTTTTGTTTCATCCTAGATAAGTTGTCTTCCCTCAATGTATTTGAGCACAAGTCCTTGAGGAAACTGGCTAATATTTGTGATGACTTTTCATAATCTTTCTAACAAGGCATTTCAAACGTACTAGGAACTAAAGATACAGACAAGAATATGACAATCATGATTTTTCGTACCTATCAACTTGCCTTCTCAAATGTCAAACACACCATAATAAGTTAGATGCAATGATAGTATGGCAATCATCATTTTTCATACCGTACCAACTTATCTTCTCTAGTGTCAACACATCATAATTAATTAGATGCAGTGTACAATCCGCAATACAAATGTCAACCAAATCCACGACAGCCTATTTTACGCAATCTTACCCTAGATTTATGCAAAGTCTGTTACCACGGCTTGAACCCATGACCTTCTGGTGCCAACTTTACTAGTTACGTCAAGGTTCCCCTTCAAATAGTCTCCAAGAGTTCAACAAGAAAAATCTAGGCACTATCACCATGCCATGATGCGGGGAAAGGATGAGGTTGCAGTATTTGATTCCATCTATAAATCATGGAATCAAATAAATAGGAGTTACGGCTACACAAACTGTTGAGAGTTGTTCTCGATCTGGTCCAAGACGAGCTATTATTCGTTTATTTATTATTGGTATTTTAGCCTTTCCTTTGGTGTATTTGCAATCTATGATATGTTCTCTTTGACTTACTATATAATATTCTTCTTTTTGTCGTTTAAACCAGTTTCTTATTGTTGGTATTTCGAATATTTTTGCTACGCTTAGGTCTAATTATTTTCCTTTTATTTGTTCAAATATACTATTATCAAATATTTATTTTTTTGTTCTAAAGATTCTTCGTCTTGATGTTCTTCTTTAGTTATTATTTGTATATCAGTTTCAGTCATTTTTTTAATTATAGAATTCATTATCTGATTCCATTTCTATGACGTTATCCATATCATTTTCTGATATTTCATATATGCTATCTTTACTTTCTAATTCATAATCTACGTACTCTATCTGCGTATATTTTTCATCGTTTATTATTATTTCTGATATTTGTTTTTTCTTTGGATTTTTAGGTAACTTACAATCTCTAGCTATGTGTCCTAATTTTCCACAATTATAACAAGTACATTCCGTTAGTTTTCTCTTTGGTCTATACGGTCTTTTAGTTTTGTAGTTTTTTACATAATATCTTCTTCTTGGTTTTTTATATTTATATTTTGATCTGTATTTTTTATTATATCTCTTTCTATTTTTATAATACCTATCCGTACAACCAAATTGAGGTGCTGTTTTATTTTTGCAACATGCCAAGTTTTTTACTAATATTTTTTCCATTTTTATCTCTTCTTTATGTTTTTCACATATTTCTATAAACCATCGTTGTAAGAATTTTTTTCTAGCTCCTAAGGTATCCCTACTTCATTCCAACTTTTTATTACTTTTGAATTAAAAGGTTCTGCTAATTTTGTAAAATATAATTTTCTTATTTCTTTACTTTCTTCTATGTTATATGTTCCTTTATAATAATATTCTCTAAATGCACATGTATATTCATCTATATAACACATATTACATATTGCTAATTTTGTCATTAAATTTATGTTTATAATTTTTTCTTTATTTTGTTCTTCTATTTCCGTTGTCATACTACTAAATTCATTTCTTATAGCTACTTCATACTTATATAATATTTCCGTAGTTGTATTAATTGTTTTGATATATATCCTATCCATAATTGGATTGTTTTATTTATATCTGCTACACAGTCTAAATCTAAAAAATTATGTTGTTCAGTTATTGGTTTAGGTGTCCATTTTTTATTTAATCTTTTATCCCATATAGTTTTTTCTTTATCATATTGTCCATAGTTTCCATTATAGTATTTTGGATTAAAATTTTTTGGGTTTTTTACTCCTGATGTGCTAGGTTTTTCATCCATGTCTACGTCTCCTGTATTTATTTCTAGATTCTTTGTATTATCTATGTTTGCTAAAAGTTCCGTATATGTTTCGCTTGTTTCCGAATGTTGTTCTAGATCATCATCATTTATTTCATCTATTCTTATTTCGGGTAGATTATCTTGGTTATTTTCTTCTTTTTCTTCTAATTGCAATTTTTCTTTAAATTTATTTATCTCATTTGCTAATTTTGTTTTTTGTTCTTTTTCTTTTTGTTTAATTTCATACATTTCTTTTAATATTGCTAGTTCTTTTTCTAACTCTATTATTTTAGTATTTTTTACTTCTTCAAATTGTTGTACTTCCTTTTTTGCTTGTTGTTTTATTTTTTCAATTTTCGTTTTTCTATCTATTTCTTCATTTTCTTTTGTTATTCTTATCATAGCAGTTAAACTATCTTCTAGTTTTACCGTTTCTTTTTCTAACATTAAACTTAGATTGCACCTATTTTCTTTTATCTTCTTCCTAAGAAAATATTATCTTTATTTTTAATCCGTCATAGTTTTCATATGTTTTTTCATCTATTGCGTATTCTTCTTTATTCATTTATAAATTGTGTTGTAGTTTATATTCTAAGCTTTCTATTTGTATTTGTAGGTATAAAATAGTTTTTCTCTGTGCTACTATAGATTTTTTACAAATTCCTGCAAATATATTAACTGTTAAGTCTATTTTGCCTATGTCTCAATTCTTGTCTTTTTGCTATAATTATTTCGGTAAGTTTTTGTCTATATTCGTTATTCTCGTTATTCATTGTATCTTTAAGTATTGAATATATTTATATTCTATTTTAGATATATTATCTATTAATTGATCTAATTTGTCGTTATCAATTTTTTGTGATATTGAGTTGTTTGTATTCCGGATATAATTTGTTTAATTTTCTTCTTATTTTTCTTAACTTTCTACGGTTAGAAATATTTCACGGGGAATAAGCAGAGCAGTGGTGGACTGGAAATTTACAAAAGATTAGTTAAAAGCATAACCAAAGGAACCCGTAATCTCTAGTAGTCGAAGTGTATACTGAAGGTGTTAAGGAAAGCTGACCGGTTCTACAAAGAAAACTGACATTCAGGGGACTTGGATTTGGCATGCCACATGGTTACGTTACTTGTCTCATTCTTGTCAACCTAGAGCAGTGTACTTTCACTTCATGAATACGTAAAACACTTTCTGATAATTTTATGCTAAGATGTTATTTAGCATTTTACCTCCTCAGATGAATAGCAAGGATGGCAGATTGCAGTTGATGACAATGATGCGAGAGTTGTATGTGAGCCCTCTTGCTGTTATTACCCTGCAGTTGTGTTTGTAGGCAATAGCAGCCTACGTCGTGGTTTAGTTGAAGTATGTGTAAGTTGATCCGCAAACAACCATCTTAATCAGAAAAAAGAGATACATATTTTGGTGTTTTGCGTGATACTTTTTGGAGATTGATCTTATATCTTTATGATGAATGAATGAATGAAACCGAGTACAAAGAATAATTGATAGTCGGCTTGCCAGTGCACACTCTTTGTCTGAAAGAAAGAAAAACATTTCTTATACTGAAGATCAAAATTTTGTTGTGGCAGCTGAAGGCAGTGTCCTCTAGGAACTAGCGTACTGATTGGCTAAGAAAAATCTGGCTATGATCACATAATTCAATTGAGCTGCATCCAGCTTCCTTCTTCCCACTGAGAGAAGATCCCACCTCTTTTGCCTTCACCTCTAACATGTCTCTCTCCTCGGGCAATATCCCAGCGATCGCATAAGTACCATTCAGAAGTAGTGCATCAGCAGGGTGTTCGCCAAATCTCTGTCCTAGTTCTTTCGTCACTTGTTTTCCCAACTCAACACTACCATGGACTCTGCATGCTGCTAGTAGGGCACGCCATGCAGTAGCATCCCCCTCAATGGGCAAACCTTTTATTAGTTCTCGTGCTGTTTCAAGCAATCCAGCACGACCTAAGATATCAGTCAAACATCCATAATGCTCAATTTTAGGAGTCAAGCCATATTCTAGGATCATTTTCCTAAAACAGCTGATGCCCTCTGCCACCAGTCCCCCATGACTACAAGCACTAAATACTGCCAAAAAAGTCACTTCATTAGGCCTAAAACCTTCATCCTCCATTCTGTGGAAGAGTGCAATAGCATCCTTTGCCTCCCCATGTACCCCATAACCCATTATCATTGCAGTCCAACACTTCACGTCTTTAGTCTCCATACTGTCAAAAACATTAACTGCCTTCACAAGCAACCCACACTTAGCATACATATCGATCAATGCCGTTCCATGAACTGGATCCAAAACTAACTGCTGGTCTTCCACAAAGTTCTGAATATATTCACCCATATTAAGAGCTCCGGAGCAAGCACAAGAGGAAAGCAAACTTGCCAAGGTTGACGAATTCGGCTTCAATGTTTGAACCTTCATTTCCCTCAATAGAAACGATGCCTCTTCTAGCAACCCGTTTTTAGCATATCCATCTATCAAACAGTTCCACAAGACAACATCTTTCGGATAAGCTTCATCAAATAGACTACGGCCTGAACTAATGCAGCCTATCTTCCCATACATAGATATCAAAGCAGTTAGCACCTTCAAACTATCGCAAAATCCAATCTTTATGCAATAACCATGCAGGGATTCCCCTACCAAAGCAATCCTTAACTCACCAATCGCAGACAAAACACACAACATCGTCGTGACACTAGCAGAAATACCATCCCTACGCAACTCTACAAACATATCCAAAACAGCAGAATAATCACGTACACAAAGATAGCCACCCATCAAGGTGTTCCAGGAAACCAAATCCCTCGTCGAAAATTCATCAAACAGTTGGTGTGCACAACGGATTCCCCCACAAACACAATAAAAATTCAAAAGGGTATTCTTCAAATCAAGAAACAAATCAAACCCAGATCTCAAAACAACTGAATGAACAGCTAGACCAGTCCATTTCTCCAATAAACGCATACAAGATCGGAGCACAGAAACAAAAGCAAACTGATCAAGAACAACATTTTGTTCCCTCATATAGTTGAAAAATACAAGACCCTTTTGTGGGTCATCACTGATTGAATAGCTACGAAGCATGGTATTATACATATAAAGATTTGGGCTTTTTACATACTTGAAAATTGAAGATGTATAATCTGTAAATTGGATTGAACATGCGAGGAGTTTGCTTAGAGTGAAAGGTATTTGGTCTTGACCCGTTTTGATCATTAAGGCATGAAATTGACTGATTTCTGAGATTTTTTTGCATGATTGTAACTGAGAAATGAGATTTTGATCTGAAGAAAATGTAGAACAATGTCTTGAAAATTGTTTGAAGGTTTGTCTTAGATGATGTGAACAGTAGGATTTAAAGGCTATGTTCATGAGCACAAATTTAGCGGCAAAGTGTACCATCAAGAAGGATTTGTTGCTTTTGTAATAGAACTATTACTCGTCTGTTCTAATTTACATGACACAAATTATTTTTTGAGAATCAAATAGTTTAAGTTTGACGGGAATTTGCGGATTGAATCTTCAATTTTAGTGAAATCTATATATTTGTAAATTACATAAATAAAATAAAAAAAGGTATTATAAGTTACAATAATTGATAATTCAAAATGTTTAAAAGATCAATGAAAAAATTAAGGTCAAAGATAAACTTGTTTAAATCTCGAAATCTTGAAAAGAGCCACATAAAATCGGACGGAAGGAATATTTATTTTTCAAAAAATCCGTCAAAAATGTCTTTAAACTATGGAAAATTGGATTAAAATGTTCTCAATTAATAATTTGGTTTAAAAATACTCGGAATGTATTTATGTATATTTACCAATTTGATAAATATGTATTTGTTTACCGACACACAAATACAAATACATTCCTTTGAAGTCTACAATCCTTACCCACAAATATAAATACATCTTAAGAAATATATTGATTAAGATATGGAGTAGATATATTGAAATATATTCTTGATTTATGAATACTTCTTGATACCAATTCATTCGAAATGTATTGAAATTTTGTTAATAGTTATATGGCTTGGGCTACTTTTTTTTCCTTTTTTTTTTTCATAGTATGGAATAGAGGGAGTATACATCATGTTAACCTTTTTTTTTTCTTTTGCATTTCAATTTCTAATTTGAGAGAACATTTTTCGCAATGGCATGTGTGATAAATTTTGAATTATATATTATATGAAGATTAAATATATTTCTTAAATTTGGAATAAATTGCACATAATATTTATATTGTTCCGCCTAATCAAAATTAAGAGGAACTGTTGCCTACTACTAAAATTCTATTTTCTACGACATGTTCTTCTATGCAAGAAGAAGAATTAGAAAAAAGTGAAGAAGTTTGGATTCGAAAAAGTATATTTAGATAGTTACTTCATTAAGCACAATAGAATGAAGAGGAATTTGTACCATTTCTAATATGTAGTAAATGTAAATATCGAATCACGTCTCTGCTCTTCAGATCGGTCCATCCTTAATAGAGAAATTCGGACATAAATATGTGTTTTCATTCAATAAAAAAATCAACTCGAGGAAGATGAACTACTGCAATGTATAAATATTGTATAAATAACGTATATGAATAAATATACATCTCTACTACATAGTTATACATCATATATACACAATTTTATAACATCAATTCATTACAAATACATACAATTATTTTATTGAAATTTTTCTTGTTACTTATACAGTTACGTAAGAACCCCCCCCCCCCCCCCCCACCAAAAAAA